AAAACACAAGCAAAAACACAAACAAAAACACAAACAAAAACACAAAAAACAAAAAAACAAAAACAAAAACAAACAAAAACAAACAAAAACAAACAAAAACACATAAACAAACAAAAACAAACAAAAACAAACAAAAACAAACAAACACAAACAATTACAAACAAAAACAAACAAACACAAACAAACACAAACAAACACACACAATCACAAACACAAACACAAACACAAACACCAACAAAAACACAAACACAAACACAAACACAAACAACAAACACAAACAAAAACACAAACACAAACAAAAACACAAACACAAACACAAACAAAAACACAAACAAAAACACGAGCAAAAACAAACAAAAACAAACAAAAACAAACACAAACAAACAACAACAAACAAAAAAATAATAAAAAACAAACAAAAACAAACAAAAACAAACAAACACAAACAAAAACACACAAAAACAAACAAACACAAACAAACACAAACAAACACAAACAAACACAAACAAACACAAACAAACACAAACAAACACAAACAAACACAAACAAACACAAACAAACACAAACAACTAGAAACAAACACAAACAAACACAAACAAACACAAACAAACACAAACAAACACAAACAAACACAAACAAACACAAACAAACACAAACAAACACAAACAAACACAAACAAACACAAACAACCACAAACAAACACACACACACAAACACACAAACACAGAAACACACAAGCACACAAGCACACAAGCACACAAGCACACAAACACACAAACACACAAACACACAAACACGCAAACACACAAACACACAAGCACACAAGCACACAAGCACGCGCACGTGCACGCGCACGCGCACGCGCACAAGCACGCGCACGCGCACAAGCACGCGCACGCGCACGCGCGCGCGCAGGCACGCACGCACGCACGCACACACACACACACACACCCACGCACCCACACACACACAGACAAACATACACACACACACACACACTGAGACGCATACACAGACACACACACACATAGGCGCATCCACACACGCACAAGCGGACACGCGCGCACACACGCAGAGACACACAGAAACGCACAGAGAGACACAGAGACACAGCGACAGAGAGACACAGAGACACAGACAGACGGACGGACAGACGGACAGACGGACGCACGGACAAACAGGGACACAGACACAAACGCAAGCACAAGCACAAGCACAGACACACACACACACACAAACTCAACCATTCAAACACAAGCACAGACAAACAACACCATATAATGCAACAAAACACACCGCAGCACAACACAACCCAACCCAACCCAATCCAGCTGCGCTGTGTGTCTTCGAGCTTGAAGAGCGAGGGCATCCCTACCCGTAGGGTATACCGCTGACGTGTTTGGTTGCACCCCGAGCTCCTCCTCAGCATTGCCTGCATTACCTGCACGCACGCCGGCCCAAACACTTGGACCCCAAAACGTCCCCGGCCTCCCTGGCCTTGCGACGGGTTGCCCCCCCGGACAGTGCGTCCCCGCCAACATCGTCTGCATCCTCGGAAACTTTGCCAGCATCCCCGGCATTCCCTGCATCACCAGCATCTGGGCGTTCCACCATCCCTTACATCCCCCCACTGCGTCGCTCAAACCCTTCAAAAATGGCCCCCTGAGAGTAGGTTTGGGTAGGCGGACATGGCGGGCAAGTCTGCGATCGAGTGGGCGGTTTTTCTCATCGCACGTACCGTGTTTTTCTTCATTTTTGCACCGGTTTCTGTGGGGGCTGGGACGGGCTGCCGGGGATATTTTTTTTGGTCTGATTGGCTTTTGATGTGAGACACGTGCGACGCGCGCGCGTGCGCGCCGGACGCAAGCGCCGGACGCAAGCAGGCACACATGCGCTCAAGCTAGGGTGGGTGAGTGCATGCTCAGCGTAAGGGGGGTTGGGCAAGCAACCTTGCAGCCTCTTGCGCGTGGGTTCGCAGCGAGCGCGTGCTTGGGTGGTCCGGAGGCCAGGCTCTGAAACAAGGTCCCGCCTAAACAGTCCTTCTTAGATCTCACCTGTCCGACCGGCCAGCGCAGCTGGTGATGGCGAAGCCCTAGGATACATCATAACGCACACACACACACGTGTACTTTGCAATCAAGATGCCGTGAGTCCCACTGTGGCAGCTTTTCTCGTGAAGTACCCTTTGGTCGTGTCAAAGTCCATGCGGTTTGAATACCTGACAAAGGATGCTCAAGGGTTGATGACCCTCTTGCTAGTAACAAAGAGCACACACACACATGCTCTCCTTTCCTTGCTCTATAGGCTCCGATTTCAAAGCTTGCTGAATCCGGCTGAGTAACAAACACTTCCCTTGCGACTGGTCATCCAGCTGGATCCTTCCGTCCGCAAAGATCCACTGGTTCTTCACAGTGCCTTGGCGCAAAGCCGCCGGCTTCTTTCTACTTGACAGCACGCCTCCCGGCCTGTGCCGCAAAACTGTGTCTATGCAGCGAATGATGCCAAGAGTTAAAAGACATTTTTGCGTTGTCCTATTGCACACGTCGAGCACCCCCACGCAGTGATGTCCCACATCACTCGACACGTGTTCAAGGAACTCACCTCATTCTCCCTCACGTGGTGCCTACAACCTTGCTGCCGGCTTAGTGAAGCCTCCCCAGCCGGAAGAGGATCAGATCGGCGGGGGTTGTATGTTCCACACTTCTGTGAATCCTTTGAGAGCCCCACCATGAAGGACACCCTTCTCAGCCCACCGCGTTGAAACGCGAGTTGACATGTGCAACATGGTCCATGGCAGCTGCTTCACCAGACCTCCCCTGCCTGCTTGATTCTAAAAGAAACCCACTCCAAAACAACAGGGAACAAGGGCAACGCTGGACTGTGGAGGCCTGGGTGACTTGAGCCCAGCCTCCAACGTCGGCCGTCAACTATCAATTAATTGATTCCTTCACTTTAAAAACATCGTCCATCCGGGCATGCTGTGTCAAGTCAATTGTTCGGTTTCAATATATTTCCGCATGATCTTGTGCCCAGGTCTGCCTAGCCCGCAACCCACGACAATGCTCTCAGTTATAGCAACAGCCGGCCGGCCGCCGTTCTCTCAGGCCGACATTGCCAGGTTGCTGCAGTTCCTCAGCATCAGGCCGCATCGGACATCCGGGGCATAGGTCGTGGGTGGAGGACAAGGAGCACTTTGTGTCGTCACGCACAGCGGCTCTTGCCCCTTGGCCATCTTGGGAGCCACCAGCTTCCCTGGGCAAGGGAATCTATGCCGGTGTCTCAAGTCGGGATGCTGCGAGTTCTCGGCGACGCCCAGTGCGGACATTTGTCGTGCAAGGCGCAAGACTGGATTTATCGCCGGCGGGGTGGCAAAATGCGGTGACTTGTTGACAGCTGTATGACAGGTTTGGAGCCCACACACAACCACACACACACGTGCCAACTAATGTTGTTTGTTTTTGGAGGAATCAGTGCAGGGAGGAATCAGTCCAGGCAACCAGCATTTGACGCTAGTTGGCTGTCACTCTGCCAATCAGGCTGCGCAAATGCTCAATGTATTTCAGCCGGTGACGCCATGAACGATAAACCATCAAGAGCACAAAGCACACCCAATGAAGACCCGACCGGCACCAAACATCTTCTGATCGACTCAACAAGCAGCAAATATCTTTGGCTAACGGACGAAATGACATGTGTATATATATATGTATATATATATATATGTATATATATATATATGTATGTATATATATATATATGTTCCAACCCAACCAATCCTCAACATCTGATTTACGCCTGGTTTGGCGACCAAAACTAACTGCTCATGGCCATGGGATGAGCACTACTAGGACCCACCTCAAGATTGTTTTGAGGTCAACAGCACGAGAGCCAGCACCACCAAGGATCAGGCCCCCACACAAGCCGCTCAAAAACTCAAACCACTATATCTACGCGAGGCCAAATCATATATCTGCCAGGCCCGTCGGTTCGGCACCGACCTGCAACCCGCGGCTTTCGCGAACTGCGCCTCGCTTTGCCCCGCTGAAGCTGAAGCCCACCGATTGCCCGCTGCCGTCGCAGCGGCCCTGCGCCAGCTGCCGCTCGCTATGCTGCGAGGGGTAGCTGCGAATCCTCGGATGGGTGGAGCGGGTGGGCTTGGTTGGACCTTGTCTTTCAGGGTCGGAATTTTGGGGCGTTGGATGTCAAATAGTTAAGCCTTGGCTGCAGCTGTGGAATCCGTTGCCGGTTGGATTTGGTTGGTTTCCGGTCGGGCTCGTTTTTGTTTCTCGAATCTTTGCCGCGGCTCAAAGTGCCAGGATTCCCCACCCAGGCTTCTGAAATGGCCAGGGCATCTCTGTTGGTGATGGTGGGCCAAACGCGGTCCTGGCGTTGCGTGTAGCTCGTGTCACGCCACGCCACGCCGTGACAAGCTGAGACTTGGGAACAAACATACCCCGTCCATGGTAGCCGTGTCGTTCATGTCCTGAGTACAACAGCGGTAAAACAACGCCTTCAAATGAGTCGCTGGCCCTTGTGCTAAGGCCAGCTCAAATCCAAGTATCAGCGGAGATGACACAATGCACCAAAGCCTGGGCTCCCAATCAGCACTGCTCGCGCTGCTGTCAAGGAGTGGCTGAATTGACTTGTTCCATAGGTTCTAGAGCCAGTGCTTTCTGCAAACAGCATTGTTGAGAGTCGACTGATCTCTGCAGCAAAGCCAAGCACTGGAACTGAATAGCAACAAATCCCTCACCTGACACGCGCAAGAGTGCTCAGCGCATAGCCTTCAAAATCAACTGACGTGCGTGCGTGCCTGCGAGTGGGTGTGTGTGCGCTGTGTGTGTGGTCTGAAATTCCCCCTCCCCATGTGGGGGCCCATTGGACCACCAGTTTTGAGAAACAATGAGTGCGGGTCTTCCGGCCGATTTGTTCGGTTCGAGCTGCGCCCAGTGTGTCCGCTCTTGATCCTCTCGGTGCGGCCCGCTCTGGAAGTTGCCCACCTGCAGGTTGCTCACGCCGAGGTGTCGTCACTTTTGGTTGGGCAAAGAAGCAGAGACTGGTCAAGAGATGTGGAAGGTAAATTCGTGTTGTGGCAACGTCATCCTCAAGTCCGATTTGAATAACACATGAGCTGTCAATCTGAGAAGTATACATTGAATCGATGCCCCATTCAAGCTGTCAGAAACAGGCCTCCCTATCCTTCCATCTCAAAAAATCACGCCACAAACAGGACACTTACTATAATTTCGCACAAGCGGCTATTCTAGAAGCCGCGAGCAAAGGAGTATGGGTAGGTGTCAAACTAGGAGGGCCCCCCTAAAATGATGGGCTTGTTGGTTTCCCGGAATCCAACCCTAAAAGCAGCACACAGACACACAGACGCAGACGCAGACACGCAGACGCACAGACACACAAACACATCGACAAACACATAGACAAACACACAAACACACAAACACACAAACACACAAACACACAAACACACAAACACATAGACAAACACACAAACACACAAACACACAACACACACACACAACACACACACAACACACACACAACACACACACACAACACACACAACACAACACACACACACAACACACACACAACACACAACACACACACACACAACACACACACACACACAACACACACAACACACATAACACACACAACACACACAACACACACAACACACACAACACACACAACACACACACAACATGCACAACACGCACAACACACACAACACGATAACACGCGCAACACGCACAACACGCACAACACGCACAACACGCGCAACACGCACAACACGCACAACATGCACAACACGCACAACACGCACAAAAGAACAAACACACAAACACGCGCAAACACATTTTTCTTCGCGTGCTACTTTTCTTCTAATATTTCCTCTCCACTTCTCTGCTCTTCTTTTCTTTCCCTTTTCTCTTCTCTCTTCTCTTCTCCCTTCTCTTTTGTCTCTCCTCGTCTTCTCTGATCTCTTCCCCCTTCTCTTTTCTCTCTCCTCTTGTTGTCTCATCTCTTCCCTCTTCTCTTTCCTCTCTCCTCTTCTCTCTCGTCTCTCTCTCTCTCTCTCTTTCTCTCTTCTCTTCTTCTCTCTCCCTGTGGTCTCTCTCTTCTCTTCTGCTCGCTCGTCTTCTTCTCTCTCTCTCCTCCCTCTTCTCTCTCTCTCTCTCTCTCTCTCTCTCTCTCTCTCTCTCTCTCTCTCTCTCTCTCTCTCTTGGTTCTCTTCTGTCTCTTCTCTCTCTTCTTTTTGCTTTTGTCTTTGTTCTCTTCCCTGTCTTCTCTCTCCTCTCTGTCTTCTTTATCTCCACTCTCTTCTTTCCCTTCTCTCTTAGCTTGTCTCTCTTCTCTCTCCTCTCTTCCCTCTCCTCTCCTCTCCTCTTCTCTTCTCTTCTCTTCTCTTCTCTTCCTCTTCTCTTCTCTCTTCTCTTCTCTTCTGTCTCTTCTCTCTCTCTCTCCTCTTGTTCTCTCATCTCTTCTTCTCTCTGCTCTCTTCGCTTTCCTTTCTCCTCTTCTTCTCTCGCTCTTCTCTCCCTTCTCTCTCTGGTCTGCCTCTTCTCTTCTTCTCTCTCTTTCCTCTTCTCTCTCTCTCTCTCTGTCTCTCTCTCTCTCTTCTCTCGCTTCTCTCTCTGCTCTCTCTTTGTTCGCTTTTCTCTCTTTTCTCTCTTCTCTGTCTTCTCTCTTCTCTTCTCTCTTTTTTTTCTCTTGTCTTTCTTCTCCCTCTTCTCTGTCTTCTCTCTTCACCCTTTTCCGTTCCAGCTTCGCTCTCCCGCTCTTGTCTCTTTTCTCGTCTTCTCTGTCTCTCTTTTTCTATCTTCTCTTCTCCTCTCACTTCTTTCTTTCTCTCTTTTATCTTTCCTCTGTTCTCTCTTCTCTCTATGCTCTCGCTTCTCTCACCTCATCTTCTCTGTCTCCTGTCTTCTCTCTTCTATCCTCTCTTCCTTTTTTTCGACTTCTCCTTCTTTCTCCTTTCAACTCTTTTCTCTTTCTCTCTCTCTCTCTCTCTTTGCTCTCTTTGCTCTCTCTTGTCTCTGTTCTTTCTTCTCCTACTGTTCTTCTCTCATTTTTCTTCTCTCTCTCTTTCTCTCTCTCTCTCTCTCTCTCTCTCTGTCTCTCTCTCTCTCTCGTTAGAATTGGTCCTTACTGTTGTTACAAGTGCAAGTGCTGTAGTGTTCAAGCAGACAGTCAACCAATGTAGTCTGCAGCTGCCAACCTCTTGACTCATGCGATGTAGTGAGCTCAAGGCCTGCAGTAGTGAACACACATGCAACACAAATGCAGGAAGTGAAGCATTAAGCATGTAGTTTGACACGGCCCCTCAGTTAAAAAGTCTTTGTAGTACCTTTTCAAGTAAAGTGCAAAACATGGATTGGCAGTAGTGATGAAAACCATTGTTGTTCATCAATGCTACTCAAGTGACAAAAAAAGTAGTAAGCTGCTCTCAGTAGCTCACGCTGTTCATGGTCCAGCACAAAGTAGTGCAGGTGCTGGATGGGGTTCAAGCGTGTAGTGCCCAGTGCTGGGCGCGGTAGGCTTGGACCATCTGTAGTTGACTGTCCAAGGTCGCATAGTAGTGGGTGGTGAAAAAGGCTGTCATGTAGTTTGGAGCGCCTCGTAGCCTTTCATCGTCGGTCTCAGGGCAAGTCATATGTTGGTCGTAGTTCCTGAGGAAACGATGTAGTGGTGTCTTGTGGTGTTGTGTGAGGTTGGTCATGGTCAGTAGTGTAAAACCGTAGTATTGGATGCTCTTGCAGAGAATGGTAGTAATGGCCTTGTGTTGAAAGTTGTGTAGTTGGTTGTGGTTGTAGAGGCAGTTGAGGAGGTCCGGTAGTAGTAGTGGCATGTGGTAGTTCCAGATGTAGTTATTTTTCAGGCTGTAGTTGTCGGTGAAAGTTCCACCTTGTAGATGGTTTGTGGATGTTGTGTAGTTGGAAGGTAGTAGTTGTGTTGCACTGACATCATGTAGGAGATGTAGTCCCTTGTGAAGTGGATAAACTGTCCTGAAGTGAGATACCTCAGGAGAAATTGTTGTCCAATCTGTAGTTGGATGATGACGTAGTTGGAGTTGTTGCCAGCTGTAGTGTGGATTGAAGTTGTGTGATAGTAGTGGACATTGGCTGCTTCAGGTAGTGAAATGCTGAGCAGTGTGGAATTGTAGTGGGGCGTCCGGAGGTCTCCTGGGATGCAGTGGATGGGTCGTGCGTCGTCAAGCTGTGAGAGTGGAGTCGCTTGTTGTTGTGAGAGTAGTTGATACTCTTCCAGTGTAAGTGCGTTGAAAAACTGAGTGTAGGGAGTGTTGTTAGGCAGTGGTGGAGTAGTGGTTGTTTGGTACTCCGTGATGTGTAGTTGTTCCATGACTGTTGCCGGGTTGTAGTACGCCGTGGTGTGGTGTGGTTAAAGCGGTAGTTGGGCTCGTTGTAGGTCTGAGGGGGTGGTTCCATGGTCACTGGAGTTAGTAGTGACCGCCACCTCAGGTGTAGTCGCCCGTAGTCGCCCTGTCAGGCGCAGTCGCACCTCCCATCGTAGCATCTGCAGTGGATGGAGCGGCCATTGCTGCAGTGGAATGCAAAATGTAAGCAAACGGGGCAAAGAACAAAATGAGCCTAAGTAGTAGCTATCAGGCAGGCGGCGCATGCAGACATGTAAAACAAACAGCTGTAGTGTTGACTCAAGCCGCCAAAAGTGCAAGTGAAAATACATGTAGTTACTGTTACTTACATACCAAAGGTGTCGTGTTACATGTAGCTACTTACATACAAGAAATGTTCAAAGTCGTTGTTGTTGTTGCTGCTGCTGCTGTTGTTGTTGTGGTGAAGCTGTTGTGCTGGTCGTTCGTAGTGCTAAATGCGTATCCCAATGCTCTGGATGAGCCTGTGTAGTGTTTCCTTGCTGATGTATTTGGTAAACAGATCTGCGCTGTTGTGAAGTGTGTTGATCTTGAGGATTCTGATGATGTCGTGTTTGATGAGGTCTTGTGTAGAGAAATTTGAGGTCGATGTGCTTCGCTCGTTTGGTAGCGCCTTGTCGTGTAGCAATGCTCTTGCCTGCTGTGGAGTCTGTGTGGATGCGTAGGTTGAGCTTGCTGCAAATGTTGGTTTCAAGTAGGAAGTTTCTGAGGTGTAGTCCCTCATTAACTCCCGTGCAAATGGCGTAGAGTTCAGACTCTGCTGAGCTGAGTGCTATTGTAGCTTGTGTCCTGCTGCCAAATGCAACTGTTGTTCCTAAAAAGATGATGTTGAAACCTGACGTTGATTTCCTGGTAGTAGCCTGGTAGTAGGGCATCCTGCCCAGTCGGCATCGACATGAACGTCGAGATCCAGGATGTTGTTGGTGTTTGCTCTGAGTGTTGTTGTTGGTTCTATGGTGAATTTGTAGTGCTTGGCGCCGTGCAAGTAGCGTAGTACATGTTTGACTCTCTTTTGTGAAAGTTCTGTAGGTGCTGTGAGGTCTCGTGCTAGTTCTTTTGTAGAGTATGCGATGTCTGGTCGTGTGTATGCTAACCATTGAAGTTTGCCAACAATCCTTCTGTACCTTTTGTGCTGTTCGTGGTCAAGAAGTGCTTCATCTTCTATTGTTGGTTTGTAGTGGGCGATTCCTGGAGCGGTCACTGTGTTGCAGTTGGTCATTCCAGACTCCTCGATCATGTTGTCGATGTAGGAGTCCCGTAGTCCTAGGTTGCAGTAGTTGCCGCAGTCGATGTTTCTTTCAAGAAGTTGTTGTGGTTTGCCAGGTTCGAGGTAGCCGATGTGCTTGAGTAGGACCTGCTTCTGGACGGCCTCGAAAGTGGAGTCAACCGTAGTCTTGTCTCCAAGTACCAGTAGATCGTCCACGTAGACCATGATGTAGCAGTCGCGAGTCGCATTGGTGTAGACGTTAGGTTCTGACTAACACTTCAGCCAGGCAGGACTATTTTGGTGAACTGCGCAGTCCATACATGGCTTTCTTTAGTCGCCAGATTTTGTCCTGTTGTGGA